AAAGTATTCTATGATTCTATGATTCTAAGTGTCCATGGCAGCAGCTTATTAAAAGAAAGCAGACATGAGTCTAGGACATTATCAAAATATTCTGATAGCTGTTGGTTAATAGGTAGGTTGTTCTTAAAGTCTTGCTAAATCTGCATGTAGAGAAACATTATGGATAGATAGAATATTCACTAGTGGGCAAGAAAATCAGGTTTGATGAGTGTATGTATAAAAGAAAGAAATATATATTGCTATGTCTCTGTGAACATGAATTTTAATTATGCTTAATTATTTTTAAATAATCAATTGCGCAATACTTAAAAGTGAATACGGCAGTTCCCTCATGCTCCGTGCTGTTAAAGCCTGGGATTCCTGGTATAGCTGTCAGTTCATGTGAGCGCTGCTTGCCACAGGAACAAAACTTAAGGTAGCCAAGAATTCTTTTGTCACTGTAGTAATTGTATTATACTTGATGTGATATTGTTTCTAAAGAGGGATTCTATATTTAAATTTGTGTGGCAGTCAGGCTAGTAGCTTTAGGAGACTTGAGCTGTAAAGATCTTACGCCTCATGTTCTTTTTCTCTTTAGCAAATGCTTCAAACCATTGCAGGGCATGGATGGAGGTCACATTCTAGTAAACCTGCTCAAAACTTACATATAGGCAAATCTGGAGCTGGCTTTAGCTTTGGTAAGTATTACAGTTTTTGAAAGAAATATAGCAATTAAGGGCAAATTGCAGAGTTTAAAAAAAATAAAATCCTATATTGCAGTTCAACATGAATTTAAAATGAAGGTGTTTATTCTAAATAGATTTCTACTCTTTTTTAAAAAAATGTTTGAAAACCAAAATTACTTTCTTCTTCAGCTCAGGCAAGTCAGGTATGTGTGTAGTGTTCATAAGATTTTCTTCTTTTTTTAACTTGTGTCTGTCTTAAGCTTTTTTAATTGCCAAAGTGTCTTAGCTTTGATTAATTATCTCACATTGCTGTTTACAATGTTAAAGTAATTAAATGTAGTCATAGTTGAACTTGGTTGTAAGGAAATGTTATAAAGAAATTAATCCTCATCTTGGCATATTATATACATAAAGCAAATTTAGTGAGTCAGCAGCTAGATGCTTGAAACTGAATAGCCAGGATCTTCGGACGACATCTGCCTCCTTCTCTTCCTCCGTTTAATTAGCATAGCATTCTTGTTTCTTTCGGTACTAGATTTTATGTTACATGGTCCTCTCTATTCCATTTTCAATATTTTGTGGATAATTTTGTCAGAAGTAAGTGCATTGTAGGTGTTGATGAGAGAACAGTGGAGGATTTCTCCCAGGAGGAAGAGGAAGCTGAGCTTTTTTGCTTCCTGGAGAGGCTCAGGAAGTGGTGGTTTGGGTTGTACTGGAAGGACACTCTTGTCTTCTCTTTTCTCATAGTCTGACAACTGGCAAAATTAAAGATAGTAGAGAATTTGTGACCTCTTTTTTTTTTACTAGAACTTACTGATGAACAGAAAGAGTTTCAAGCTACTGCTCGTAAATTTGCTGTGGAGGAAATTATTCCTGTTGCTGCACAATATGACAAAACTGGAGAGGTAAATCTACCATAGTGTAAGGGAAAAAATAGACTTTTATCTTAACCTGCATAAAATTTAAAATGTTGATTGTGATGAATCAGAAGGTGATTTTTCCCTGTCTATTTCAGTATCCTCTTCCACTTATAAAAAGGGCTTGGGAGCTTGGTCTTACGAATTCACACATACCAGAAAGCTGTGGTAAGTAAACATTCTTTTCAATCTGTAAAATGAAACAAAGAAAAGGCACTAGATGAGATTTCTATGTGTAATTATGGATTCTGTATAAAATAAACAATTGCATACTTGAATAATCTAAATTTAATCAGTAGGCAGGTTGACACATACAAGCGTTACTAGGTATGGATGTAATCGGGAGACAAATTAGAGAGATTATGATTTGGTAATTTATGACCAGATTTTCCTACCTTGATTACAACTGCCTCATGTTCCCCGGTGCACTGTGTCAGCTGATGAGGCAGAGAAATTAGAAGGTCGTATTTTGTTCTAGTCTCTGACACAGGGTGGAGCAATTTAAGAGTTTATTCCAGAAGGACAGTTTTTCAGTTTAGATTAGGTGCAGTACAGCAGTGCTTTGGCAGTGTTTAGGTATATGAGTAACCACAGAAAAAATGTTAAATTATTTTCTTCTTTGCTTTTGTATTACGTGAAAAAGAAGTTAGGGAAGTGTCCGTAGCAGACCCTTTTTTTTGGAAGAATAATCAGAGGGTATATCTTGTATCAAAAATTTAGTAAACAAGGTTAAGGAACAAAGAGACAAAAGGAGCAATGTGAGGACCAGGTTTATTCAGCCACAAATTCTAGAGAAACTAAAGGCTGAAATAGCTGGGCTACTGCAGTGTATAATCACTTGGTTATTACATGAAAAATTACAAGTGGCAAATCGGACACCATTGCTTTAAAAGGTCTCCAAGGGGCATCTGGGAAAATACATACTAGTAAGCCTGATACACCATATAAATTAAGAGCAAGTAAGATGAAGTACAGAAATAGTGGGCACAGATAAACATGATATGCTAGAGAAAGGTTTTTGTGAAAGGAAGTCGTGCCTCATAAAATCATTGCAGTTCTCCGAAGTAGCTAATAAGTGTGTGAACAAGGGATGCCTGGTTGATGTAGAATGCTTGAACTTCCAAAATGAGTTTTAAAAATCATCAGGTTTCATAGTGGAAAAATGAGCAGCACAGCCTTGCTGGGTCTTGTGCTATTTGGAATATCTATAAATAAACTAGAAAAGGGGGTCAATACTGAAGTGATAGAGTTTACTGATAATACTGAGTTACTCGGTGTAGAAAAGATGAGGCTGGTGCAAAGAGCTGCAGGAGAAAGTCATGAAACTGAGTGACTGTTAAAATGGCAAATGCAATTCAAAAAAGGAAAAGTGATGCACATGTGAAGGGAAAGAAGCAATTCAGACTTCACAGAGAAATGGTATTTTCTGAACTAGTTACTGCCTCTCAAAGAAGAGATTTTTGGGTTTAGAATAAATAGTTCTGTGAACATCAGCATAATGCTCAGAAGTGGTCAAAACCATAAAATTTAAGGTCAGAAGGGACCTTTAAGGGAATGAAGAAAAAAGCAGAAGGCACAATTATGCTGCTGCCTGAATTCAAATTGCACTTGCCTCTTTAATTCATTATGTCGTCAGATCCTTCCATCTCAAAAGAGTATTGTGGAAATGGAAAAGGTTCCCAAAAGGATGACGAAGATTATAAAAGATATATCTTCTGCGTGAGATATAGCTTCTGTATGAGAAATGACTAAAATGTCAGCGTCATGGAGAGTGTGAAAAGGGATTGATAGTTGACTGTCCCTTTCAATATAACTAGAAGGCATTGAATTAAATCAGCAGATGGCAGGTTCAAAATAAATGAAAGGAGACGGTTCTACACGCAGTGTGTAGTTAATTTGTGAAACTCATTGCCCCTGGATGACATTGATGCTAAAATTTTACATAGATTCAAAAAGAGACCGGGCAAATTCACATATAAAATATCTGTCGAGGGTTAGCATAACAAAGATACCAAAGAGAGGTATCTCTTTGGCTGAGGAAGCCACCCGAAGGCTCGGGAAAATATTTTTGAGGAAGTATAGTTGTATTGTTATTGGATTTATATGTAGTTCCCACAGTGTTGGCTTCTGTCAGAAACAGGTTACTGAGCTGGTTGTCTGATTAATACAGACACTTTTTTTTTCCCCCCTAAGTGCTGTGGTAGTTTAGGAGCCCTTTCCCTGCTTCCTGAGAACTCTTAATTCTCAAATGTAAAGTACTCAAAAAATTCAAGTGGTACATTCTTGCCTCTTTGTGCAACTTGTCCCGTATTAATCACACAATAACCCTGGAATTGTGATATGTAATTTTCAAATCACCTGTTACTCTTCTGACAAAACTTTATTTAAAAAGTTTGCATGAGAATGTCTAATCAAACACGGTACACAATCAAATGTATGTGGGGGAATATGTTTTTGTTAATTCATTTGTGTAAATCACTAAGATGTTACAATTTAAACCCATTTTAGTAAATGAAATATTTCAACTGTAGGTGGTCTTGGCCTTGGCAGTTTTGAAGCATGCCTTATTACGGAGGAGTTAGCTTACGGATGTACAGGGGTTCAAACTGCCATTGAAGCTAATTCCTGTCTTTTCTTACGTCCCTTAAACTAGAATCTGTGCACTTTAAAAAGATGAATTAATGGTCTAAATATTTTCTTTCAGCAAATGCCAGTAATCATTGCAGGAAATGAGCATCAGCAGAAAAAATACTTAGGAAGAGTAACAGAGGAACCAATGATGTGTGTAAGTGTAACTGCTACGCTGTAGAATGTTCCTAAACCATGTTAATCTGTATTACTCTTTTCCGCCCCTCTTCCCCCCCTCCTTTTTTTTTTCCCAGAAAACACTGACATGTACTCACAACTTAGCCCATTTTGGTTTGTAAATAAACAGTGGCATTTACTGAAAGTCAGGAAATAGCTAATGAGATACATTCGATAAGCAAATAGAAGATATTACTTGGAAAATCGTCCCCATCCTAAGTCGTTTACCAAAAATGAATACCTTTTATTTCCCTTTCAAGAGACGGTGTAGGCGTTTAAGAAGAATACAAGGTTTGTATAAGGAGAAACTCAACTCAGATGGGAATTAAACTCTATTTGTGATCTTAAATATTCTATAAGCAGTACTTGTTACATAGAAAGGAGTAAAGATTCACGTGCAATGCATTAAATGCAAAGCCTCATAAAATGAAGGACACAGTAAACATAAAATGTTACTCAGTGCTCTTGTTTTCAGATTTTAAAGATTCTCAGCTTTCACATCAGAGTTCGTGAAGCCTGAGGAAATAATGACTTAAGGGTTACAGAACGGTTCTGTTTGATTAAAAGTAAAAGACAATTTTATGTATTTTTATGGATTTATAAAGAAAACTAACCCATATATGTTTCGGTTCTTGCTCAGACAGCTGTTGAGGGTTTTTGGGGGGATTGGGTTGGGTTTTGTTGTGGGTTTTTTTTTTTTTTTTATTTAATGTTTTGGGTTTTACCATACAGTTCACTTAAACCTCTTACAGATCGGTTTGATGCACTTAGTCTGCAATAATTTTTGGTTGCCTGAAAATAGAACTTTTATTCCTCAAGATTTTGTATTTTATTTTCTTTTAGGCTTACTGTGTAACAGAGCCTGGAGCAGGCTCTGATGTGGCTGGTATAAAAACAAAGGCTGAGAAGAAAGGAGATGAATATGTTATTAACGGTCAGAAGATGTGGATCACAAACGGTGGGAAAGCAAACTGGTGTGTTACCTCTTAACTCATGTTGTATTTTCCGTTGTTATGCTATATAGTGGCTTCCCCCCCCACCCCCGAAGTTAAATTCTTTAAAGATCTGTTATAAATCTGAATGTTCATTGTGTTTCAACACACTACACTTTAATCTCTGACCAGTTGATCAGGATAGGATGTAAGAATGCAGTCTCAGTGCTGTGCAAAGCCTAAAAAGGAAAATGAGCGATGACATGACAACTCCTCACTCAAGAAGACCTCTCAAATCTTGCTGCTATCAAACAAAATTAATTCTGCTTTTTCTTCAGAGCAGGACAGCAACAGTATGATTTAACTTGCAAAGTACTCAAGAGGCTCATATTACTAGCTACCTTGCTTTGTCATTGTGGTGATTGAGATCAGTTGCTTCTGATTCTACTAGAAACACCTCTCACTTCTAGTGAAGCCATAAACACTGTTGGATTGTGGTGTTACATTTTAGAATCATAGAATAGTTTGGGTTGAAAGGGACCTTTAAAGGTCATCTAGTCCAACGCCCCTGCTGTGGGCAGGGACATTACATTTTATTTTCTGAAGGGAAGATATTTTCGAGCTGTCAAAGAACCCAGATATTGCTGTGGTGTCTACGGAGCGTGCTTTATAATATAAACCTCTTTCATCATGTCTTACATCACACTGATTCGCAACACACAAATTCTTCTTTATTCAAGTGGAAAAACTTTATACGTTTATCAAAAGGCTTAATTTTCTAGTTATTTATTTCCTTGTTCAAGGCAGATCCATCAAAGACAACCTACCAGGTATCTTCTGACATTACTGAAAACCATAAATGTGATTTACAACTGTTTAATTTCTAAGAGAAATACTTATTTGCAACTTATACTTAAAAGAATAAAATTAAGATCTTTGAAATCAGATAATAACATAACACTTTGCACGCAAGAATGTATTTCCTAAGCATTAATTTTTATGTACATGTTGTGAATAGGTTTCTTTTGTACTATTCATGAAGCTGATAATATGAAGATTGACAATACATGGAAAAGGTGGAGAATCTTTGCATGTTGATCTGAACTAATTTTATTAAATTCTATGATATCTTGAACTTTGAAACTTCCTCTCTCTTGCTCCCTCTCAGTTTACTTTTGGGAGGGGCAAGAAAAAAGGGTTGTTAACTTACAGATAGAATGTATTATATTGTAGAAATGCACGTAAAAACATTTCATGATAGCTAAAAAAGTATCTGGTTGTAAATTGTGAGGATAAACTGCATCCCTCTTCTTTGTTTTACACTAGGTATTTTTTGCTAGCTCGTACCAATCCAGATCCAAAAGCTCCTGCAAGCAAAGCCTTTACTGGATTCATTGTGGAAGCAGGTAGCCCTGGAATCCAAATTGGAAGAAAGGTGAAGACTGTATCTCTTATTTGACAAGCCAGGAATTATTGTTCAATTCTAAACCAATAATGCCACAAATTATCATTAAAGAAAAAAGACTGTTCGGCAACTGATCATTTTTATGTGCTCATGTGCAATGATCTTTTCATTTTCACAACATACAGAACTATTCATAAGACATAATTTTATTAATTCAGATAAGGAATTAATCAGAACGGTCTAAAGTAAGGTGACTTTGAACAGCTGCAAAAGAATCTTTGAGAACTATTTTATTGACAAGTGCCAATAAATGAGAAGTAGTATGCCCTGAAAGGATAAGAAGCAAGTTGGACAATTCTAAGTGCCAATAAATGAGAAGTAGTATGCCTTGAAAGGATAAGAAGCAAGTTGAACAATTTTAACCATAAACACGCACACAGTGAGCTTTAATTTTAGCTACTGCTGGTCGAGGAAGAGGCGTTGGAGACACTGGTGCTAGTTCTCTCTTTAAAAAGAAAAAAAGAAAAAAGTACTATTTTTAGTAGTAGGCAAAACTGGATGTTGAACATTAGGAAAGGAATCCGAAAACTAGAAAAGTACACCTGTACTGCCTGAATATTAGATTCTTTACTTTTTCTACTCCCATCTTAAAGGATGTAGTTGAACTAGAGAAAGACAACAAGACTGATTACAGCTACAGAACTGATTTCATATAAGCAGAAAGTAAACTGCCCAGCTTAGACAAATTAAGGGCGTGCTGGTCTGCAAGTGCAAACGTAGTATTTGTCTTGTATATGGTAATTTTCAGATGAAGTGTTTTGGGGAAAAAAGCATACTTCATGGTTTGAGTAAACTAAAGAATGAAAACGTATTGTACCTTTGAATAATCCAATTTCGTTGCACCTCTGTATATTTCCCTTTTCAGGAAATGAATATGGGTCAACGCTGCTCAGATACAAGAGGCATTGTCTTTGAAGATGTGAGAGTCCCAGAAGAAAATGTACTAATAGCTGAGGGACCTGGCTTTAAAATCGCAGTGGGAGCTTTTGATAAGACCAGACCACCCGTAAGTATCAGAAATAACTTATTTATAAAATATAGTAGGAATTTCTGATTTTTTTTTATTCTGTGCTGTATTCAATCTAGGTAGCAGCTGGTGCTGTTGGATTAGCAAAAAGAGTGCTTGATGAAGCTACTAGATACGCTTTGGAGAGAAAAACCTTTGGGAAAGCAATTGTTGAAGTAAATGTGTGTGTGGGAGAGAGAAAGAGACTATAAATAAAAGCTACTGATTTTTCAAGGTTATCCCTCGTTTGGTAGTTTTGTGGTTTTTTTGTTTTTGTTTTTGTTTTTTTAGTTCCTTAATTTTTATATTATATCTCTGCTATTTGGGGGTTTCCAAGTATATAGGTCAGCACCATTTAAGTAAATTTAGCTATGTGGTAACTTCAGGAATTTTTCTATAATTTATCAATGATAATAGTAAAAGCAGAAAGAAAACTCTGCCCAAAAACCTGAAACTCGCATGCTATCAGGACATACTTAAGTTCTTCAGTGCTAATAAACAGGGATTTTCAGGAAAGGAGGAAGCTCCTGAGGTATGTGAAACAAGATGCACAGTATTAATACTAATAGAATACATTGCCAATCACACCGCTTACCAGTTTTAAAGAAATACAAATAACCAGCAAGGTAAATACCAATCTCATAAATAGTAAAGAAGAACTTCAGTATTTCAGTGTTTAATCCCTATGACGAAATGGATTTGAGAATTAAAAACTTGAAAGTCTAATTCAACATACAATTATGAGAGCCCGATCCATATTCTGTAGAACTCCTCTAGTACAATTTACTGAGTTTGTTGAAGAGATCGCTGTATTAAGAAGATTGTATTTTTCTTGGATGTCATAGAATTTTAAGCGGGCAATGTTAACCTAGTTTATTTCATCATTCATAGCACCAAGCAGTGTCTGTCTTGCTGAAATGGCAATGAAAGTGGAACTTGCTAGGATGGCTTACCAGAGAGCTGCGTGGGAAGTTGATGCTCGTCGCAGGAATACCTGCTGTGCTTCCATTGCAAAGGCATTTGCTGGTGACATTGCAAACCAAGTAGCTACAGATGCAGTACAGATTTTTGGAGGAAATGGGTTTAATACTGAATATCCTGTAGAAAAACTAATGAGAGATGCTAAAATCTACCAGGTAAGTAAAAGAGAGAATGTGATCTTTATAGTAATGCATAAATTTTATATAAAATAAACTAATGGCCACTTATTTCAAATCATGATGTACACATATTTTTTTTAGAAAAAGTTTTTAGAATGAAAGCAATAATCCTTCAATTTAAAGAAAGAGTCATTCTAATCAGGCAAATTGTTGCATTTGGTATTCTGTAAGTAGAGGTGGTTTATGTATAATGCTGTTCTTGAAAACCTTCAGTGATGGAAATCCTCTGACCTTCCACACGTATCCTGGACTGGTGCCTGCCCATAGTTTAGCTTTCCTCTCAGCCTCTGAACACTAAAGCAGCTTCTTCTCCTTTTTCCTCATAAGTTGTGGGGGATTTTTTTGTTTGGTTGGGTGTGGTTTGGGGTTTTTTCCCCCCCCTTTCTCTTTCCAGCCTCATCATCATTTGTTGCTGTTGGAAATCCTCTGACCTTCCACACGTATCCTGGACTGGTGCCTGCCCATAGTTTAGCTTTCCTCTCAGCCTCTGAACACTAAAGCAGCTTCTTCTCCTTTTTCCTCATAAGTTGTGGGGGATTTTTTTGTTTGGTTGGGTGTGGTTTGGGGTTTTTTCCCCCCCCTTTCTCTTTCCAGCCTCATCATCATTTGTTGCTGTGCTCTAAACCTTCTGTCGCAAACTTTGGTATCATAAGCTGCGTAGAATACTTCGGCTGAGATACCACCAGTATTTGAGTATCATGGAATGATTATCAACAGAAGTGTGACACAACCTGGAGTGATTAGCCTTTCTTTTTAACAACAAAACCCACCCATATTTACTCATGTTTAGCCCCTAGTCACCCATAATCCTGGGGTTTTTTCTGCAGTGTTACTGCCAAGAAATTATTCCATGTCATGTCATATACTATGCTACAGTTCTTTATTCAGCAAGAATATTTTAGTTGTGTTCAGCAAAACCAGTAATCTTTAGCTTTTCACCTCTTTATGATATTAATGGTGACTAGGTAAAATACATCAAAATAGATTATATCAAGAAATGCATGCGGACTATGACCTGTAATGTTAGTTAGCTATAACAGCTGTCATTCTTAAGATTCTAGGTAGTTAATATTTCTCTTAGAGCTGACTTTAAAATGAAAACTATTATTCTCACTAGCCAAGAATTTATTTTTCTCTATTTAAGGAAAGACAACGACTATTTTGGAATCTAAAGGTTCTCAGAACTAATGGCACTCCTGTGAGTGAGGAAATGAAAGATTAATGGAACTTTCTTATGATTGGGCTTTTTTCCTGTCAGGTTGCATGGTTTTCTAGAGAAAGATGGTATGAGGGTTAGAACTTTATTTGAAAGCTGAGATTGATTTTACAGGATCCCAGTTATTTAGATTTTCCATTACACTGATCCATCACAAATGCATGGGTAAGTAGGCTTTTTTTTCATTGTTCAGAATAATCAGATTTAGTATTAAATTTAGTATTAAATTTTGTTTTAAATAAAATACAGTTTTTGTGTTCCACTTCATCCCTAAAAGAATTCAGGAAAGGCTTTTGTCTCTACAATTATTTTGTCCATGTCTCTTGATTACACCTTGCACTTCACTGTGCTTTACTGTATTGCTGCCCAATTCCAGATGGTATATGCTTTTGGCCATATGCTTCATGTACAAAAACTTGGTTTTCCGACTTCTCTTCCATATATTTGATCTTTTTCAGTATTACACAATTCTAATACTGTGTTTATTGGTACTGTTTTTACATGTCCTTACTCTGCTCTAGGTTTGTCTGGCTACAAATATAGGCTACTCTGGTAGAAACTCTAACTTAGTTTCTCAAAACTAAGTACCTGCAGTACTGCGTCCAGTTCTAGGCTCCCCAGTACAAGATACGGACTTAACTGGAGGGAGTCCAGCACAGGGCTACAAAGTTTCTCAAATTTGGAAAACTTCCCTTCTTTAGTTGTCAATGATTCTTGAAACTGTTTTCATTGGCTTATAAACCAAAACCTTTCTTGTAATTGACTTAAGAAGATTGTGAGTTTTGATGTCTTTACACTTGAGTGCCATGGCTGTCTTCATCAGCAAGTAATTTAGTGCAACAGGAGCAGATCAGTAGATTGCAGGAATAACTGCTGAGGCCCCTACAACTACGCTATAAGCAGTTTGGGCAGGTTGAGTCATAGCAAGCCTGTTTGGTCCCTTGGACTGCATGTCCCCGATACGCCTGTAATTGTAAGGGTCCAGTTGTAGGCTTGGACCATTATGTCTTCATTAGGGGTTGGTGGGTATTTGCTGTATAGGGAAAACAGAGATTCCATTTCAGTTTGCTCCAAAAGGCACCTAGTATTCACAGAACACAATCTGCTCTATGAACTGGATCAACATGGGGTAAGCAGCAGCAGTCAAGAGAATTCACTTTGGGAATGAAAAATTTCTTCCGAACCAAAAAACTAACATGCGTCTTTATTTTCAAAAAGCTTTGTAAGGTTCTTGGGAAGATTATTCCTGTAAGTGAATGAGAAAGTGAATTTGCGTGAACTTGAGCAATTTGCCAAAGCAAGTTCCGGCAGAACTGGGAGCTGAAACACTTAAACCCCTAAACCATGTTGCCTCAGCCCTCACATTGCATTGCAGTATACCTGCAGAGCATATGGCCTGCTTTGGCATTGGAGCTTCATATATGCTTTGTTGTCTGTCTTTGACTTTGCTGCCAGCAAACAAATAGAACAGAGGGATGATGCAGACTGTTTCTCGAAGAAAATGCAAGAATACATGATTAAAAAAAAACAAAAAAAAAACCAAACAAAACTGTATGGGAGAGAGTACTAGCTAACTAATGGAAATAAATGGATCAGAGAGAACATTTGGTAGGACCTTGAAAGGCTAGTCAAAGAAAATACAACACTTTCAGCACAAGTCACCTCCTCCCTTCCACCTATTGTTTTAAATCCTACTTTGTAAAACCTAAAATACGTATTTTCTTCCTCATATAAGAAATTTTCCTCATCCTTCTTCACCCACCATATCCGTTTATTTTCATGAGAACCTTACTGAGTTTAGATAAGAGCACCTGAGAGAACAAGCCTGTCTCTCAGTATCTTGTACGTGATTTATTCCATTTAGCCCACTGTAGTTACTCTGTCACACTGGAATTTTGTTTTCTGTCCCTCTGCACATACAAATCCACACTGGATTAGTGTCGTGAAGGTTTAAAAGTGTTGATCTGTTAAAACCTTTTAAAAAATCATCAGCTAACATTATTGCAATTCTTCTTTTCAGATTTATGAGGGAACTGCTCAGATTCAAAGGATGATCATAGCTCGTGAACATGTTGGCAAATTTAAGGCTTAAAGAAATGTATAAAGTGTGTCTGGTGCTGCTATAGTGTTCTGTGTTCTCATGGAAGAGGATTTTAGTGCATTCTTCAATAGAATTAAAAAGGCATGGAGAAAAAAAAAACTTCCCTTAAATCTTTTTATTCTGTACATTATCAAGGACTACTTCTATTCTCCCTGTCCAGTCCCTCGTTCATTCCTGACTAACAAAGCTGGTACTTTCTAAACATTCTGAATTCCAAAGTGATTGGTTGTTCAAATACAAAATGGGCAAGAAATGAGAACCTCACAATGCGATGTTTTCTCACTATAAAATGAGATGATAGGAATGTTATTTCTGACAGTCATTGCTGCATTCTAATAAAAGAGAAGTGTGGTTGTTTTTTATTAATTTTGCTTGTCACATCACTTAAATTGTCCAGTGTCTGAAATACGTTAATAGCTGTACTTCAGTTTCTACTATGCTACTGCCCACAGCAGCTGAATAGCCTTTCCAGTTCAGCAGTACGAAGGCTGCATTGCTACCGCCTCCATGTGTGTCTGTTCTGAGCATTTAGATACTATCCGTCGTGGCTTGACCACAGC